CTGTTTTGTGCAGCTGCTTTTGTGGGACTACTTTGAAGAACTGTCTGATGGTTCTTGTAGCAATGGGTACTCTTGTCTACAATAGTCTCTCCTGTATGTGCCTGCGACATCTCATGAAGGTTGAGGTTGATCCTCAGGTAAGGAGTCTGTAAAGAAGTTCCCAATCTAAGACATGGCTTCCGGTATGGGGTACAGTAACCTTGCCATATATCTCACCCATAAAATTAGATTCTATGGGATAAAAGGCCATTTGATGTTGTGCCAATGCCAGAAGGCAAGTATCCCAACAAGAGTGCAGCAAGATTTCCAGGTTGGAGATACTGGGCGCTAACGACACAGGCTTGGAAGGGGATCCGAGGTACTAAGGGAATAGACAGGGTAGTCCGAGAGGGTTCAGCAATTGGAGACGGGAATGCCCAGATGAAACTGACCATGTTTTCCTGTTCTTTGGTCTCTGAACAGCCTCCTTGATCCCAAGACATTCTGACCAATGAGCTTTCCACCCCTGACTTGGCCCTTATACCCTAAGTTCCTTCTCCCCACCTACCCCAGCTTTCCAGCCATTGGATTCTAGAAATGACTGCAGGTGTTGCTGACCACTTGTCATGGGTTTGAGCTCCCAACACACTGGAGCGTTGAAGGACCTGGCAGATTTGCCCAAACTTGTCCTAAACACAGCCTGTGGCACTTCCTATGAAGCTAATGCTGCTGGAACTGAGGGCTCCCCCTGCCTATGCTCAGCTGCAAGGGGCCCAGAGAACAGTCACATGACATTTTGTCGATTTCCAAGGGTACAATGAATCTGTGAATCACTGGAACTACTCCAAACCTGGGTCCACTTAATTCCTCTATTTTCATTCAAGACAATGGTTTTCACTTGGCTGAGTGGCACTGTGACATCAGTAGAGCCATATTCTTAATAGAATTAAAATGCACAGAGCACTATGCTATAATTCTATAGAATTTCACACACCTGTACAACCCTCTCCCAGAAACTATAGATAAGCTGACTAGGTGACAGAAAATAGGTGACTCTCAAAGCTGGGGAGGCTGGCACCCCTCCAGTGGTTCCACAATTGAAGATCATATCACACCTTTGCCCAGTGTGTGTCTTCAATGCCATATCACTCATACACTGGCCATACAATTGTCAAATAGTAGGGCTGTCAATGAAAACCAATTAAAGTCTGGATTCTACAGAATTGACCAATACAGATGTTAAAGAGTATCAGGGCCTTGGAAAAAATAATCCTAGGGTTAACACTTATGTGCAGCTATTCACATCTATTTCCAGAACACATGATGATCCTCATACAAAAAAGCTCTGGAAAATTCCCAAGTGAAAAGTAACACACTTACTTGTCAAGGCACCTAAAGTAATTCCAGGCAGCTTGATCTGGAATAAAAAAACAAATGGACACGACTTTTAGAAACTGTTTATTTTCCATCAACCTTATTTCCGTTCTGCTAAGAATTTGTGGAAGAACAGCTTAGGACCACTCAGTGGTTGTTGCTACCCACTCAGTAGCCTGAGCAGTGGGGGCTGCAGACCAGTCTTCAGTGGCAGGCTGAGCACTCCAGTCTTCTGTTAAGAAAATACAAAGAAAAAGCCATCAGCTCTGTTCCCACAATACCTTTTGTCACCTTCCTGGCACCAGCAATCTGCCTTGCGTTCTATCAGACACACATTTCAAAATCAGATCACTTCATTTTTTTTTAAATATATATATATATATATTTTTTTTTACAGAGAAGAAGGGAGAGGGATAGAGAGTTAGAAACATCGATGAGAGAGAATCATCGATCAGCTGCTTCTTGCACACCCCCTACTGGGGATGTGCCTGCAACCAAGATACATGCCCTTGACCGGAATCAAACCCGGGACCCTTCAGTCCGCAGGCTGATGCTCTATCCATTGAGCCAAACCGGTTTCAGCCAAAATCAGATCACTTCAAATGCACCTGAATTCAATCTCTCAAGTTAACACAGCTTTTTAACATGGCCATGGAGGTCATTCAAGTTAAAAACAGACGTTCCAATGATGCACTTGTATCACAATACAGTCAACCATTGATTTTGCAGACCTCGATTTAACAGACTTCAAATTTAATGGGCAAAATTTCCAGTCTGTCATGTGAAAATTAACACATTAATTTTAAAAGGATTTGTTCATAATTAATAGGTTATTTTTGTTATTAATCCATACTGTCATTTTTAACAAATCTTAGTGAATAGGCCATGTTGAAAAAAACACCAGTGATTTCACTGACATAGTTATGTACCTACAACTATAGTCTACATATTTAAACTCGGGTCACCACTTGTAAATGTTCAGCCAATGATTAGAGTATGATCACACTACATCACTGAGGTAATTGGTTGTTGTTAAATGGCATGAGTTTCCTTGGATGTTCTGGCATGTGCTAAGCCATGTGCATTTGCTTACTCGAAGTGTCTAGACCAGGGGTTCTCAAACTTTTTAAAGTGGGGGCCAGATCACGGTCCCTCAGAGAGCTGGAGGGCCGGACTATATGAACTACTAATTCCTACTGTAACACCTTGGCTGTGCTCTCTGCCCAAAAAACCTGGCGGGCCGGATCAGACTCCTCTGCGGGCCGCATGTGGCCCGCGGGCCGTAGTTTGAAGACCCCTGGTCTAGACCCATTCAGTACAAATTTAATATTATAGTAATACATAAAGAAAACTTTACCGTGAATTTTTCATACTTAATTTTAGTTACACAAACATATGTCTACATAAGTAAAAACAGGTTTATACTTACTTATGTCTACATAAGTATAAACCAACTTGTCAATTTTTAATGGACTTTGGGTTTAACGCCCCTTCCCCCCATTGGTCCGTTACATGGAGGTGTTACTGTACTCACCAGTAGGAAACTGCTGAATGGGCACAGAGGGCACCTGCACGCCTTCAGACCAGTCTGCGACCTCAGGCTGCGCAGCAGTGAACTCAGGAGCAGGCGCAGTCCATTCACCCTGAAACTCCTCCTTAGTCACAGCCTTTTCAGCAGCGGCCTGCTCTTCCTTTTCAATCTGGTTAAAAAAAAAGTGTTGTTGTTTTTTCATAAGGACTAACAAACTTTACTTGCAAGAAGTATAAACCAAGGTGTCCAACTTGCTTAGGTGACCATAAGCCTTTGTGGAGGAAGCTTACCTCCTCAGGATCTCTGTAGAAGTACAGATCAGGCATGACTTCCCACGGGTGTTCACGAGAGATGGTGCCACGCATGCGTAGTACTTCCCGGGCCAGCATCCACCACATCAGACCCACTGAGTGAGCCCCCTGCGAGAAGGCAGAGTATTAGAAAGTGCCACTTGGGCCGATGGGGTGCCGAGGTTGACCATCTCCCTGAATCAGGAGTTCTGGTTCAATTCCCAGTCAGGGCACATGCCCAGGTTTTGCAGGCTTGATCCCCAGTGTGAGTGGTGCAGGAGGAAGCCGATAAATGATTCTCTCTCATCATTGATGTTTCTAGCTCTCTCCACACTCTCCCTTCCTCTCTGAAATCAATATAAAAAATTATATATATATATAAAAGCTACACTTGGTCAACCCCAAACTGTGTACCTCCCATTCCACCTAACCCAAACCCACATCATCTATAGTAAGTACCGCTGTCAAGCCTCTATCTCAGGCAACAAAATGAAATACCCCAAGATCAGTGCCAGGACACTGGTTATTGAATTAAAAACATTCAGGAGATTCAGGGTTTTGAGACCAGTGACAAACCAGACCAACTTGAACCATATGCAGCCCACCTTTTAAGGATCTTACAGGATTCAGCAAGCTGGTCTAAAAACTGAAAGGCTGAGTAATGCCTGAGAGGCCCAAGTAAATCAAGAAATTTGGAGAAAACAGACCCCTTTTCAAATGTTTTCATATCCTTAAAACTCTCATACATTCAACTCATACTTGTAGCAAGAATTACTATCAAACTCCACTCATTGGGCCAGAGACCCTTGTGGTGTTTGCAAAAATCTTGCCTCTCATGTAGCACACTACCTACACTTGAGAGTCAATGGGCCACCAGTGGCCGCAACTCCAAGCTCTAACAATGTGCAGAGGAATGCCCAACCATCTCTGGAGCACTCATTCTCAAGATCTAGTTTAGATCGAAAAGCAGTTACCTTGTTGTTGCAAGGGATGGCAATGTCCACGTAGCGCAGAGGAGAGTCTGTGTTACACAGAGCAATGGTGGGCAGGTTAACATAAGACGCCTCTGTGAGAGGCTGGTGGTCAGCCCTGGGGTCAGTCACCACCAGAAGTCTTGGCTCCCGGAAGGCTGCCTGGATCTGGTTGGTGAAGGTTCCAGGGGTGAAGCGGCCGGCAATAGGAGTGGCTCCAGTGGCAGCAGCAAACTTCAGCACAGCTCGCTTAAGAAATAACAGTATGAGTTAGAAGTGCTCCAGAGACAGAACTCTCAGAGTAAGCATGTGACGGGTTGTGATCACGTGAAGCAGCCTATTTAGCCAGAACTCCCAAATACCCTTCCTCAAAAATGAAAGCATCAAATTCCAGCAATTCCTGTCCTCCATGTTACCTGACCAATATGTACACAAAGACTAGAGTTAAAAAAAAGACATAGCCACACTGCTTGGTTTCTCCCCACGTGGGCCACTTTGTGAGTGACTTGGACTAATTACTCATATGCTTCCAGGTTGCTCATCTACAAATAGAAAAGCCGAAGGACCCTTACAACTGAAAATCCAGTTGACCAGTTGCTATGGTAGCCAGTGCACTCCCCAGGTCCCGCCCCCACCGGCTGGCTGGCCCCAATTGGGATTGGGCAAGATGACCTCAACTGCCGGCCAGGCCTAGGGACCCCACCTGTGCACTGGGCCTCTAACAGGGTTATAATTAAACGAACCAACACAACAGTGCCCGATAACCAGTAAGCACTTCCGGCTCTGGTCAAGTTATCACACAGCTATCCTACAAAAGCAGAAACAGCCAGCTTTACCTTCCCTCACCTTTCTCTCCTCTAGAGCTGATTATTTCCTGTTTGCCTTCCGAAAGGCAGATCTAGCTGTTTTCCAGCTACATCCCAACCACCTAGCAACACTTCCTAGATCAATATAAATGCTTAGCAAGTTTTCAGTGAAGGAAGTGTGGGAGTGGTCACTAAGTTCATTCCATAGCAGACTTTCTTCTACCAGGCACCAAACTGGAGGGACCCAGTCACAAGCCAGCCTCTGGGGAACAACCAACTCCACTACCCACTCCCCGACAAAACACACTGAAGTTAATGGGAACTAGTTTTATTGTCAAGCTAAACAATGAAACATGAAAGGATTCTCCCATGATTTTGAAAGCTCCGTTCAAATCAAAGCAAAGGATTTTTTTTTAAAAAAATTAGAAATGGGGTGAACAAAAAAAGCTTTCTTATTTAAGTTGGAAAAGATCCTTACTTTTGCTTCTTATGAAGACTTGGATGAGAGGACTAGCACTATACTCTTTCCACACTCTCGACACAACCTATATTCCTTCTTTTAATACCTCCCAAGCCCAACTAATGTCCATCTCTTGCTTGATTTTCCTCCGGATTTAGTTGAACTAACCTCTATCAGCACTTGTGAAATATAAGGTACTATGGGGGAGGGGAACTCAGCTCATGAGCTTCATCATCTCACCTCCCACCTTCATGACCCAACTCAAGTCCCACCACCCTTTTATTTTAGGTTCAGGGAAGGGAAAAGGGAAAAGCAGGGCATGCTGCCAGAAGACTTCAAAACCCTTCTAAAAACTCTGCAGCTGACAAAATTTCTCTCAAATATAAAAAATTTGACTATCATTAAAACTGATGAGCCATTTCATCAGGGTCATTTCTCAATATTTAGCGGCACAAAAAAATACATGACATGAAAAATGAACCTCAACATGTTAGGTGGCAAGTGTAATATGCACTGGAAATGGTGAATACTGGCAGCTCATACATTTCTAGAGTGAAATCATGGGTTATTTTTATACTCTCCCATATAACCCAAAATGCATATTTTTAAACGTTTATTTTTTAGTAACAAAAACGAAGCATATTGTCCCACCAACCTGGCCAGTATTCCTGGACGATATGACACTGACGTCAGCTGGGTTTTCAATGGCAACAATGGCCCGAGCTGCCAGCAGAAGCTTCTCCCAGGTTCTCTTCAGATTGATGATGTAGATGCCTAGGGGCAGCAGAGGTGTTAGCACGTGACCTGGCTTTGCAAATGGACCCTCTTCTAAACAGTTGAGTGTGGCAGAGAGCACTATCAACTCCAGTCATAGAGGCAAGCTCTACTGGTGTCAGCGAAAGTCCTGCCATTAATATAGCACACTTCCGACACTCAGAAGTTCATCGGCCAAGACTGGCCTCCACCCCGAGCTTTAATAGTGTGCAGCTTTCCATCAGCAGGCCATCATCGGCTTTCTCTGTGGTAATGCCTAGTTGTTGCCCACTGTCTGGCCTCACCATACTTTCCGCTCCTATGCCTTGACACCAAATTCAGTCTAAAACTCCATCATAGCTGAAATCCCTCTGTGGCTCCATCTCCCGAGCTGAGAACTACGTTACCCACTGTAATGCTTTCCACACTCTCGACACAACCTATATTCCTTCTTTTAATACCTCCCAAGCCCAACTAATGTCCATCTCTTGCTTGATTTTCCTCCGGATTTAGCTGAACTAACCTGTATCAGCACCTGTGAAATATAAGGTACTATGGGGGAGGGGAACTCAGCTCATGAGCTTCATCATCTCACCTCCCACCTTTATGACCCAACTCAAGTCCCACCACCCTTTTCCACTGGAACCCAGAAAACCTTTCCTTCCAACCTCAGCCAGTTCGAACAGTTGGTTTTAAAGCCTGTTCTCAACCTAGAGATCTGGTTTTATTACTTAGGAGAGCGCCCTCCAAGGCAGACGCAGAAATTACCTCACCCAGCACTTCTCATCAGAACGGCGGGAGTCAAAATTTGCCCTGAAATGGGAAATGGGGGAAGAAAAAAAAAAAAAGGCCACTAAAGCAATGACTGACCATCGCTTTTCCTCTTGTAGATGTACTGCTCCATTTGGAAGTCAAGGTTGGTGCCACCTAAGTGGGTTCCTGCTGCAAGGAATTTGAGGACATCCTCCTCCTTCATTTGCAGGACATCAAGCGCTCCGGACATTGTGAAGTTTCCCTTTAAGTTACGTGGGAACCTGAAAGAAACACACGCGAACACACATCTAGTCCTTTTCATTCCAGTGGGATAGGGGAGCAGGTGCATTCTAATTACCCCTCAAAGCAACTCCTTTTTTAAATGGAATCTAGGCCACCGCCCAGTCCAGTGGGATGAGACACAATAACTGTACAGACTACACTACACACATACTAACCGCATCAAATCGCAGAGGAGAAAGTGGTGTGAAGATGGGGAAGCAGCCGGGTAACAAACTAAATCAGACTAGTGAATTGAGACTTAAATACTTCTCAAAGTACCCAGGAGTTAGGCTCAAGTTCTAGATGAGCAAAGCTAACTACCAGATGCAAAAAGAGCAGCCAAATTCGAGAACATAAGCAGAGCCAAGGCGGTGGAGACATGAACACGTTTACATTCAAGTAGCTCGTCGGTGGGCACGCTGGAATTAACCTCTCCCTCCGGTAGCAATTCCTTTTGCTCAAAACCCATGATCACCAAACGAAAGAACCGACCAGCCCTAGCAGCAGGTGGAAGGTGGAGCCTAGGCCTCTGGTTTCACAGCCAAAGTCTGGGAGCCCCAAGCGATCGCAGCACGGTGCACCCCCCACCCCCCATTCTCCCTTCCTGAACCCGAGCTCACGAGCAACTCGGCCCCGAGCCCGGGCTCCAGCGCGCCCGCCGAGGGCATTGTGGGAGACGCGGGCCCAGTCGGCCACGTGCGGCCGCCTGGCGGATGCGGAGGGCGCCGAGCCCCCCCAAACCCGCTCCGTCTGCGGATCCCACCCCCGGTTGGTCCTCACGCCCCTCGACTGGGCAGGAAGGTGGTTCCAGCGGCCCTGGGAGGACGCGGGGACCCTCATGGGGGACTCACCGAGAACAACGCCGTATGGAGGCCTCCCTGGGTAGCACGGAAAGGCCTGACGGGCGGAAATGACGTATTTATATACCCTGCCGCCAGCCAATGACAGCAAACGCCGGGCGGAAGAGGGGCGGGTCCAGGCCTTCTCCTTCCGGGAGGCGGGCTGAAGGCGCGGCGCGGGCTCTCGGGGCGGCGGAAGGGGGCGCCGTGGTGCTGGGGGGGCGGATCGCGACTTAAGGGTCCCCCCCGCCCCCCGCCCCCCGCCCCTCCAGCGAACCGGAAGCCAGCCCGCCTGCCAGGACTGGAGCCTGTTGTCCTGACCTGAGACCACCGCGGGGCCCTCACCTAAGCCGCCGTGCCCACTACGTGGGAAGGAGTGTGGAACCCACAAGTCTGAGTGTTGGATGAACAAAAGCTGCAGAAACTATTAGCACTTTTTTGGAGGACATTTTAGAATTCAGATTCTGAAAGTTCACTTATGGGAAATTTTCCAGAAAAAAATAAAAAGAACAAGACTGCACAGATGCATGAGAATTTTTTTTTTTTGAGGGGGGGGTGGTGGTGGGAGGGCGAAGGTATAAAAAATAGCAATATTCACCAATCGATTGGTTACTAAAAATATACTCCAATACAATACTATATAACCATTTAAAAAAATAATTAAAATTCTATGGTGCAAAAGAGAATTAGAGGGTGATTCTTAAAAAACTGGAACGCATTAAAAGGTTATTTTAAATGGCCAAATGGTTAATAGTTACGTATACAGTAGGTTTCAACCCTGGCTGCACTTAGAATCAGTTGCAAGCTTTTCAACATGTTCAACCCAAACCAAGAAAATCTGATTTATAAAAACACCTCCTGAGATCATCTTAATGTGCAGCCAAGGTGAGAACTACAGGTGTACACGTACAGAAAGCGGGTGGGGTTTCCCCCTCATTTTTCAGTATTTTTTAAATTTTCTGAGGAACATAGGATGTTCGTATATTGAAAACAAAACCCTGCTGCTTCCAAACAAAGCTGGCGTAGAAAAGGAGTAAACGTGGAGGCTTGGCTTTCAGCATCCTTAGAAACTAAGGACCTGGAGACGTTCTGGCTCTCACAAAAGGTAAGACTTCGGAATAGCTTTTTGAACTAGCTGGTGGTGAAGGACTCTAGAGAACCTTCCGGATACTCCCAAACCATCTCATCAGCTCCCTCCTCTGTCCACCAAGGTCTGAAGAACACCTTCCATCATTGTAACTACCAGGACATGGCACTGTAATTACGTTCACGTGTGTTTCTCCACAAGACACTAATATTTCCCCCACAAAACTAACTTTGGCCTTGACACTAATCTGCAGGGTGAAAACTCTTGGGGAGGAAATGAGAAGAGTCTGAGATGAAAAACGCACCGAGAGGATGGGAAGTCCCGGTGGAGCAGCCCTGGCCTACGACGTACTTGTCAAATGGCCATGGCTCCATTGCGCAGGCTCCATTCCGCACAACCATCTCCATCCTTATTTTATTCACGCCCATTTCTGATGAACAAACATCTCAGCGCCTTCCTTTTCCAAACTTTGGTTTCTGGGCTTTGTATTTAAAAACTAAATGATTTTCCCCCCCATATATAAAATTGTGCTAGGGACCGTAATATTTTGGACTACACTTCCCACAGCATTGGGGAGCGAAGAGATTTGAAGCTGGGAGAATATGGGGCATCTTACTGGCCCCAGGCATCAAGTTCATCTTGGGCATCTTCCCACCTCCCTTTCTAACCCAGACTTCCTTGCTGCTCCTCTACACCCGTTTGCCTGATACCTAGGTGTCTGGTAGTCCTTTACCTTGTACCTGAGCCATGTCCCAGAATCCCTTTTCCCAGCTTTGTTGCAAAGCTCTCATTCTGTTACATGGTACGGTCCCTTCTGTCCACCGCAAGCATCCATCTGTGTAACTTTTCCCAATCACTTCGCACTCTGCGTCTTATGTTAAGTTCGTGCTTTGGAACCCCAGCTGTACCACCTTCTAACGGTGACTCTGAACAAGTCACTGAAGCTCTCCCAGGAAGTAAGAGCTGGTGATAATTCAGGTGCCGCCAGCCCGCCTAGAAGCGGCCCCTGTGCCCGGAAGTCCTACAGACGCAAGTGAACGCAGAGTTACGTATGAACCAAGGAGACATTTTAATGCTCTGTACAAAAATCAAAGCTACAGATCAAATGGAACTCCAAGGTTCCAAGATTCAATCACATGTATGGATGCTTAAGAAATCGCACTAACCAAAAAGGACTCAATTATCCCTGAAATGGAGATAGGCCTGGAAATCCTGGGTTGCTTCGTCCATCTTCACAGCGTCCTTGCCAACCGCCTGCGTTCGCCTGCAGGCCCAACCATCTGATGCGAATGCCATCTCGAGCCTCTGGGTGTAGGAACAGTCACCTCTGCGGGACGTTCATGAGCAAGTTCCCTGAGAAGTCAAAGTTCCCTGAGGTCCAGCGGGACGAGTTCTGAGTCGGCTTAGCCACACCTCCTTTTCTTCAGATGGGGAAACCAAGGTCCGGACACGGTCCACGTTACACAGGGAGTTAGAGCACCATCACAGTGGAAACCCATGCTGTTACTGTGAAGACACTGGTCTGCATTCAGATTTTCCTTTTAGTGGGCGGGGATCCAAGGGGCACCCTGAAGAATGTGTTTTGGAGGAAGCATACAGAACAGAGGGCGTCTGGGGTGGAAAGAAGAGTGAACTGTGACAAAGTATCAGAGTGTTCAGTGAGGGGATGACTGAGGGAACAGCAGATCATCTGGAATAGCCAAGACCAGGACAAGCGGGGAGTACTCGGGTAGTGTCGGCAGGGTCTGGCTGAGGACTTGGGATATGCTCCTAAGGAAATCTGGTGTACGTTCTGGAGGCAGCGAGGAGGCAAAGGATTAACAGAAAGCGGGTGGGGAGAGAGATCCAAGATGGCTGCTCAGGTAGACACCTAGCCGCAGCGCACACAACAATTTCAATAAAATACGACTAAAATATAAAATGGACATTACCCAGAACTACAGGAAAGTCGACTGACTGGAAATTCTACAACGAGAAGCAAGGAGAAAACCAGAAGGAGGCGCGGAGGAGCTGGAAAAGCCTGAAGTACGGAGACACGAGCCGGAGAGGAGGGCGGCCGAGTGCCTGGCGGGCGTTCCCCAGCGGGAAGGAGATAAATGCTCCAACTGCGTTGGGCCCCAGTTCTGACTGCTCTGAACCCCAGTTCAAGGCCAGACCCCGGGGACCCAGGCTCACCCAGCGGGAGCTGGGCTGTAAGGCGGAAGCAGCAAAAGGAGGAGGAATTGCCCTGGGGGGAAGGAGACAGGGGCTCCAGACTGCTCTGAACGCCACATCCAATTCCACTTCCAACTGTACTGAACCCCAATACCAGGCTCATTGGGGGAGAGCACAGACTGTTTGGCAGCAGGCGAAAATCGAGGGCACCTTTCTCTCACATGTGCTTGCAACGAGTACTGAAGGACCCTGAGACCCAGGAAGCCAAGGCTGTAGGCTCCACCCTGAAACTCCGTCCCATCTGTAGCTGTGAAAATGCAGAGACGAAACAGATCACAAACGAAAGAAATGGAGGACAAAAAGCGACTGGATATAGAGTTCAAATCTACGCTTATAAGGTTTTTCAAGAATTTCCTAGAAAAGATCGATAAGACCTATGAGGATATGAAAAGAGATCAACTAGAATTAATAAGGCATCAACAAGAAATGATAAGGGATCCACAAGAAATGATAAGGGATCTACAAGAAATAAAGAATACATTCTCTGAAATAAAAAATATTATACAGAGTCCTAAAAACAGAATGGAAGATCCCAAGAATCAAGTCAAAGATTTGGAACATAAAGAGCCAGAAGACACTCCTCCACAGAAGCTAGAAGGCAAGAGAATCCAGAAAATTGAAGATAATGTAAGAAACCTCTGGAACAACTTCAAGCGAACCAACATCAGAATTATGGGGGTCCCAGAAGATGAGAGAGAGCAAGATATCGAAAACATACTGAAAGAAATAGTGACAGAAAACTTCCCCCACCTGGTGAAAGAATTAGACTTACAAGTCCATGAAGCGCACAGAACTCCAAACAAAAGGAATCCAAAGAGGACCACACCAAGACAAATCATAATTAAAATTCCAAGAGCAAAAGACAAAGAGAAAATATTAAAAGCAGCAAGAGCAAAGAAGGTAGTTACCTATAAAGGAGCACCTATACGATTGTCAGCTGATTTCTCAACAGAAACCATGCAGGCCAGACGGGAATGGCAAGAAATATTCAAGGTGATGAATAGTAAGAACCTACAGCCAAAGATAATCTATCTAGCAAAGCTATCACTCAGAACTGAAGGTCAGATAAAGAGCTTCACTAATAAAGAAAAGCTAAAGGAGTTCATCAACACCAAACCAGAATTATATGAATTGCTGAAGGGGGTTCTTTCAGAAGAGAAAGTAAATAAAGATAAAAATTATGAACAACAAATACGTAACTATCAACAAGTGAATGTAAAAACCAAGGAAATTAAAAAAAAAATCTGATGAACAATATTAACTGTTGAATATAATAGAATCAGAGGTATGGAAGGGGAGTGAACTGACGATTCTTGGGGAAAAGGGGAGAGGGGGATGTGGGAAGAGACTGAACATAAACTGTGCACCTGTGGATGAGGACAATGGGGATGTGGAAAGGGCAGAGGGTGGGGTGGGAACCTGGTGGAGGAGAGCAATGGTGAGGGGGAGGGGAAGGAACATTTGTAATAATATGAACAATAAAAACTTATTAAAAAAAAAAAAAAAAGAAAGAAAGAAAGAAAGCGGGTGGGGAGATTTAGGGGAAACAGCTTAACTTCCGACTGACGAAAAGTGGCCATGGAGCCTGGCTCAATGGTTGAGCATCGACCTAGGAACCAGAAGGTCAGGTTCGATTCCAGATCAGGGCACATGGCCGGGTTGTGGGCTCAACCTCCAGTGGGGGACATGCAGGAGGGAGCCGATCAATGATTCTCTCTCATCATTGATGTTTCTATTTCTCTCTTCCTCTCCCTTCCTCTCTGAAATCAATAAAAAACATATATTTCTAAAAAGTGGCCATGGGACACACAGGTGGGGATGACTAGCATGTGGCTAGACAGGCACGGAGGTAATGAGGCGAGGTCTGAGGAATGGATAAAATCATGGAAAGATGGATGAGTCCTTTGCTAAACATTTCTCATGGGGCTTCTCTCTGTCTTAAGGCACAGATGGAAGCTGGAATACAGTTACGAGTAAGACACGTGGCCTCTGCCTCTTGGAGCTTACAACTGAAGAGAGAGAGAGAGAGAGAGACTAGCAGCCACGACACCGTCGGTGAGTACAGTAGTGTTAAATGCTACAGAAGAAAAGCAGAGGGTCTCCGAGTGCTGAAGAGCTGACCTAGCGTGAGGGGCTGCTAGTTCTCTCTCCCTTTTTGATCCGAGGCAAGGATGCTTGAACTAAACTTGGAAGGACAGAAGGGACTTACCTATGGGTGGAACAGAGTGTGCCAGGCAGAAAGTAGCAGTTCATTCAAAGGTGCTGAGGCAACGAGGAGGAGGCTGGAGAGTGGGTGGGGGATGAAAACATGAAGGCATCAAAGATACAGAGGACAAGTAGAGATACCCAAGGTCAGACTCGGGGATGGCTTAGGAAGTCAACAAGGAGGTCAGCCTGGCTGCAGACAATATGGGGAAACAAGTGAACCAGGGGAAGTCCACATAAAGGCAGTTCCGGATTACTAAGCCAAGAAGATGAGGCTTAACTCCGGCACCAAACATACAGTGGAGAGGATGGGGGTGATCAGCAAGAGAAGGACATGATAAAACAGCACACACATGGGACTGGACTTCCATGTCTTCATCACAGTTCAGGAAATAAAAAATTCAGTAAAAAAAAGTCTATTTACAAATTCCAAATACATGTAGTTAAATCTTAGAAAACAACATATGGATACAAAACAAATTAGAGAAATACAACCAGTGACAAAAATAATACAAAATGAGACTCATTTGTCCTATGCTATTATACAAAGCCTCACAGTTCTTTACAAAGTCTGTTATAAAGAAGTGCTTATTTTTTAAACCATCCTGATGTCAAAAGTACACGAATCTAGTTAGAGTTGATTCCATGACAAGCGATACTTTTATTGGTTCATCGCGCAGAAAAAACTCCGTGTGCACCACCTTGTTATTCACCTGCAAGAGAAAAGCACAAACTGTCCACGAGCCTGCAGAGCCCCGAGCAGAGGGTCTCTCAGGAAACCCGCCAGGAGGAGGTGGCAGAATGCTGACCCCTAGGAACGCAATGCAGACATCACTATAGGGAGATGTCCCACCAAGTGCTTGGTCCTGTGAGATAGAAAGAACATTAGACTGGCCAAAACTGGTTTGGATCAGTGGATAGACCGTCGGCCTGCGGACTGAAGGGTCCCAGGTTCGATTCCGGTCAAGGGCACATACCTTGGTTGCGGGCACATCCCCAGTAGGGGGTGTGCAGGAGGCAGCTGATCGATGCTTCTCTCTCATCGATGTTTCTAACTCTCTATCCCTCTCTCTTCCTCTCTGTAAAAAAATCAATAAAGTATATTTAAAAAAAGAAAAAGAGCTGACCTAGCCTGAGGGGCTGAGGAAAGCACCCCTGTACAAGTGAGCAACTCCAGCCAGAGTGAGTTTCTTCTTAATCTGGCATTTTTATATGAAAAGAGAGTTAATTAGGAAAGGTTGTAAATGAGCACAGTAACAGCAACACTAACACTGATTACAAGGCTAAGGTCAATCTTGTCATTATAACCTTCTCATCAAGTGCATTCGCTTTAGAGTGAATGAAGCGCAAAGATCCTTGGAATGTACTTACTTTGGTGAAAAAGTCGGCGATGTGCCACTTATTCCCATACTTTTCGAAGATTTCAGTCATTGCCTCAATCATCACAGAGCCAGTGCGGGGGTGCCGTAAAGCAACGTGATCTACAAATTAAAACACAAACATTCGTGCATTTTCCTCTTCCACTTGTGTGAATTGTTCTTGTGCCCAGTTAAAGCCTAGGAAATGGCTTTGAACTGAGAGGACGGAAACACTCTTGCATTAGCAGAAGTGTGCCTGGGGCCATACAGACATGGGCCATTACAGCTGGCCCATGTGACAAACAGCACAAAACTCTCAATAGGGCTTTCTTTCAGTAAAGGTTTTCAAATATACACAAAGGTAGGAAGCAAAGTTTAACACTTCCCCATAGAATCATCCCTCAGGTTCAATGGTTTCCATCATTTCACCATTTGCTTCATTTTATCCCTCTTCTATTTTTTTAAAATATGTTTTTACTGATTTCAGTGAGGAAAGGAGAGGGAGAGAGAGAGAAATGTCAATGATGAGAGAATCATTGATGGGCTGTCTCCTGCATGCCACCTTCTGGGGATCAAGCTCAAAACCCAGGCATGTGCCCTGACAGGGAATTGAACCCTGACCTCCTAGTTCATAGGTTGATGCTCAACCACTGAGCCACACTGGTTGGGCTGGAGCTCATTTCTTTTTAACGCCAAGTAGTATTCAAAGTATGATATGCCACGATTTGCTTATCCATTCACCTAGTGATGGTCATTTGGGTTAGTTAGAGTTTCCGACTACTTCAAACAATTTGTACACTATGAACATTTGTGTACAAATGACATGAGGAGATATGCTTTCATCTCTCTTGGGTAAATAACCAAGAAGTGGAATCTTACATCTAACTTTAGTGGGGACTTTTTCATGTCTCACCATTCAGTATGTTTCATTTTATATTACTGCCTTTACATTCTTAGCTTCCATTTCTTCACTAACATTTTATCTTGAATTATATATATATATATATATATATATATATATATATATATATATATATTTACATACTACCTTAATCCTTTTTGAAGATTAAGATAAAACATCAACGGTCCTTGACCGTCTACTTCTGTCTTCTCTACTTTTCCCTGTCAAGTCCACCCCTTCAGCACCTAAGATTTTTTAAAAATTTTGTTATTAGTGACAGTATTAGTAATAATAATGATATTAGCATAATACATTAGTAATAACATTAGCTAATTTTTCAGTATTTATTATGCCAATTACGATAAGCACAGTACCTGCATTACATAATTCAATTTACATAACATTCTAATGACATAAGTAAATTTTGTCATCCTCATTTTACATGAAGAAACTCAACCCTAGCCCTAGCTGGTTTGGATAGAGCATTGGCCTATGGACTGAAAGGTCCTGGGTTCGATTCCGGTCAAGGGCACATGCCTGGGTTGCAGGCTCCATCCCCAGTGTGGGGTATGTAGGAGGCTACTGATGAATGATTCTCTCTCATCATTCATGTTTCTATCTCTCTATCCTTTTCCCTTCCTCTCTGAAATCAACAAAAGTATATTTAAAAAAAAAACACAACAAAACACCCTAGTCAGTTTGGCTCAGTGGATAGAGCGTCAGCCTGCATACTGAAGGCTTCTGGGTTCGATTCCGGTCAAGGGCATGTACCTCGGTTGCAGGTTCCTCCCTGGCCCAGGCCCTGGTCAGGGCTCATGTTGGAGGCATCCAATCGATGTGTTTCTCTGACATCGATATTTCTCTCTGACTTTCCCTCTCTCTTCCACTCTCTCTATAATCAATGGAAAAATATCCTCAGGTGAGGATTAAAAAACACACACATACACACAAAGCTGACATAAAAATAATGCAGAGTCTAAAAGATAGCCAGTGACAGAGTTAGCTTTTGAGCCAACATTGTTTGCACAAGACAGCCAATGAATGACCTTATTTACTTTGTGGTTACGCAGAGGTTGATGTCTTTCCGGAAGAAATGAACGGTAAGATGCCAACCTACCATTTCTGAAAGTAGGAACCATTGTTGAAGGGAGATGGAGGGGGGTAATGGGCATCTCACAATCATCTAGCTTTGCTGTCTTACCTGCCTGGGTAGGATAGATGATGAAATAATCACTGAACGTGGGCAGCCTCTTCCTCTCGGGTATGTCATCCAATTCCATGGGCTCATCATCTGTTTCAACACCACTATCTCTTCTCTCTGTTTTTTGAAGGATGAAGAGACAAACTACAATGATACATCACCGACACCAGCGACCCTTAATAAACGTCACCATGCCCAGCCGGTGTGGCTCAGTGGTTGAGCATCAACCCATGCACCCAGAGGTTGGCAGGGCACATGCCAGGGTTGTAGGCTCGTTCCCCAGCAGGGACCATGAGGAGGCAGCCCATCCCTGTAGGGAGCATGCAGGAGGCAGCCCATCCCTGTAGGGGGCATGCAGGAGGCAGCCCATCCCTGTAGGGAGCATGCAGGAGGCAGCCCATCCCTGTAGGGAGCATGCAGGAGGCAGCCCATCCTGTAAGGAGCATGCAGGAGGCAGCCCATCCCTGTAGGGGGCTTGTAGGAGGCAGCCTGTCATATTTCTCTCTCACCAATGTTTCTATTTCTCTCTCTCCCCTTTCCCTTTAAAAATCAATAAAATATATTTAAAATAAAATAATCGTCATCACAGCTTGTATCTTCGTAAGAGAGAAATAAGCTAAGTCGGATGTTAGTCCCAGAAGCCACCTGGAATCACCTGGAAGGTGGGACATCCCTTTGTAGACATAGCCTCTCCCAGCATTTGAAGCTCCCAGACCTACCTCATGAAGTCAGTGACTTGGACGGTTCCTCAGCCCAAGTTAGCTACTCAATCCCAGTTCAGTTTTCCATCCATCCCTTCCCCCAGCTCAAACTCGCTAGTACAACTATACGACTGAAGTTACATCAGCTAAGGATCCTCTCATTTAAAATGTATTATTTGCTCGTATATGTTTTTAAACCTATTCTTTACTCTGTCATCAGTATGAGAATTTCCTACAAGTGCGATGATTACAAAGACGTTTCCACTTACCTCCTCTGCAGGCCTGGATTATAAAGATCTTTGGTTTCTCCTGAAGTGCTGGACAATTTTTATTATTGAACATTTCAAAAATCTCTTCCAGGCTGACTCTTTCATCATCTTTTATTTTCAGATAGCCTTTTTCTCCATGGGACATAAGCGTGACAAGGCAACAGCTAATTTCATCTTTAATTTCATTTAAGCCATCACGAAATGATGTTAGTTGTTCAAGTAACTCCTGTGAAATAAAATAATATATTAAAACTAGAGGCCCAGTGCATGAAATTCGGGCACAGGTAGGTCCCTAGCAGCTGCCAGCCAGGGCCTTCCTTCATTCTGTACCACCCCCTGGTGGTCAGTGCATGTCATTGCGAGTAATTGAACTCCTGGGGGATACTTTGCATATTGGGCTTTTATATAGACTAGAGGCCCGGTGCACAAAATTCATGCACTTGTGAGGAGGGTGTGCCCCTCCACCCAGCCTGCATCCTCTCCAATCCCCCTTGGGGGGTGTCCAATCTAAACCAACAGTCAGACATCCCTCTCACAATGCGGGACTGCTGGCTCCCAACCGCTCGCCTGCCTGCCAGCCTGATCACCCCCTAACCACTCCCCTGCCAGCCCCATCGCCCCCAACTGCCCTCCCTTGCTAGCCCGGTCGCCCCCAACTGCCCTCCCTTGTAGGTCCAGTCCCCCCCGAACTGCCCTCCCTTGCAGGCATGGCCCCCCCCAACTGCCCTCCACTGCTGGCCCGGTCACCCCTAACTGCCCTCCCATGCAGGCCAGGTCACTCCCAACTGCCCCTGCTGGCCTGATTGCCCACAACTACCTTCCCCTGCCAGCCATCTTGTGGTGGCCATCTTTGACCACATGGGAGCAGCCATCTTATGTGAGGGCCAATTTGTAAATTACCTATTTCTTGTCCTAAGTAAATGCAAATTAACTAACACTCCATCACAAAAATGGTGGCACCCATAGCCACAAGATGGTAGCACCCAGTCCTCTCAGCCCTGCCAGAGTCCCCCAGTCCTGGGGGGAGGAGGGTGGTGGCAGCTGAGAGCGGGCAGTGTGAGCATCCTGGTGGAATGCTTGCTTCATCGCTGCAGCGACAAGGCAAGCATTCTGCGCCTGGCCAGGGATGGGCCTCTGGGCCACGGAGAGCCTCTGGGCAGCAGGCGCAGAGCGGCCAGGCCTCACAGAGAGCTACTGGTGCACGGATTCGTGAACAGGGCTGCTAGTATAGGATAAGAACCGAAGGTGGGAGGAAATCAGAGACACTAGAGGTGGCCTCTTTACTAAGGAGGTGATCCAATGCAATGGTAAATATGAAAATACCTACATCTCTAACAGTTAGTATGAGGTAATTATTCGTTTCTTGACTTGTTACTCCCTTTTGGTTGCTCTCAGAATTCATTTGCTTTCTTCTTGTGCTACTGGTTCTAGTTTGACAAAATTAGGGCATTTCTGATTATCTACCACAAAATACAACAGAATTATAACTCTTCAAAGGGCTGGTGTTTTTAGTTCTATTATTAACTTATTTTTATAAAAAGTATTTTATATTGATATAACTAATACTCTTAATAAGGTAGAAACGGAAGGGAATGGAAGAGTCCAGCCATTCAGATACACCTGCCGGAGTCTATCAGCAGATGTCATCAAAGTCCACCCGCAGGGGCAGCCATGCATGTCTTAATAAAGACCCTACCCATCACAATGAAGTAAAGCAAAAAGTAAATGAAGTTCAAATATTGGAAACAAAGAACCAAAGCTCATTATATACAGATAACCTGACTATCTAGAAATATAAAATAAATCAACTAAAAAACTATTAGAATTGGGGATCATCAAGTTGACCAGATATAAAATTCATTTACATAGTCTACATTCCCCCAATTACCCAGCAATAATCATTTAAGCCACATAATGGAAAAGGGGATCCCATCTGTGGTCACAACAAAACTAAAATACCTAGAGGAAAAACAAAACAAAAAACAAGGAATACGGATTACCTAAGTGAAGAAAACCAAAAATATATATTTGGTGAAGAGGCAGCATAAACAAACCATGACATGCTGATGCTTCTGGCTGAGGTGACTTCATACTGTTAATTTGCTAATTCACTCCAAATTAATCTCAATTCAGTGTCATACCAATCAAATCCCAAAGGATTTCTGTAGAAGTAACCAGATGGTTCTCAAGGTCTTAGAGACCAGGTCATTCTCAAGAACAATAACGCAGAAACCCGGTTTGGCTCAGTGGAAGGGAGAGGCAGAGGTAGGAACATCAATGATGAGAATCATTGATTGCTGCCTCTTGCACGCCCTGCGCTGGGGATCGAGCCTAAAACCCAAGGCATGTGCCCTGACTGGGAATCGAACTACTCAACCACTGAGCCACGCCCGTCAGGCCCAATTATTTATCTAATAAAAAAGGAAGGGTATACAATCCAAGCTACAATTTTTCATTTTTGTTTTTAACGTGTTACCTTTTTGTCGGGGTCGATGCATGACCTATATTCGAACTGGCAGTGGTCAAGCCACTGCTTCATGAGATGGACGTCCCGGTGGGCCCCGGGCCTGTTCTTCTTCACGCACATGAGGAAAGCGTTCCGCCTGCCTCTCAGGTCGTAGCAGTCCTCCTGTTTGCCAGCAAAGCCAAGAAACAAAGTTTAGACCAACCCACAGAAGGCTGACCCCTGAACGACTCAGGTCAATGGGAAACTCCCGGGGTAAGTTCCAGCCTGGGTTATTCAAGGGTCAACGGACTATGAAACGATGAGTTTCTCCTGGGATTAATGGTGAGGTTTCCCAGTTCAGATCAGGGCACAGCAGTGATGGCCTCTCTGGGGGGAGGCATGACTTGATTTATAGCTCATCCCAATACCTTTCCCAGACCTGAACTAGTAGGCCATTCTCAGAAAATCCCTATATACAACCATAACTAACAGTATCAGGAAGCAGGACTGACAGAGAAACGTGGTAAATGACAACACCAGGTTGGAGCCATTAAAATCCAGAATGTGGGGGATTTTACAGGCCAAACAATCTGGTTTCTTTAACACTGTGGTCGGCAAACTCATTTGTCAACAGAGCCAGTTTGCCGACCACTGCTTTAACATATATGCAACTAGAAAAGGACTAAAGAAGACTTTTTTGTGTTGTTGTTTTTTAAATCCTCACCCAAGGATATTTTTCCACTGATTTTTAGAGCAAGTGAAAGGAAGAGTGAAAGACAAAGAGAAATATCAATGTGCGAGAAACATAATTGGTTGCCTCCTGCACTTTGCACGTGTCCCGACTGGGGCCCGGGCGGGGAGGAGCCTGCAACCCAAGTACTAAGTGCCCTTTACCAGAATCAAACCTGGAACCTGGGACCCTTTATCCAGATTCGAACGCTCTGTCCACTGAGCTAACCCGGCCAGGGCAGGAAGAAGTCTTAAGAGACAAACCAGTCAAATGTAGTTGTGTAGACCAGAGTTCTGATTCCAACAAACCAACTTTAAAACACATAGGGCCCTAGCCGGTTTGGTTCAGTGGATAGAGGTTGGCCTGTGGACTGAAGGGTCTCAGGTTCGATTCCGGTCAAGGGCATGTACCTTGGTTGCGAGTACATCACCAGTGGGGCCTGTGCAGGAGGCAGCTGATCTGTTTCTAACTCTCTATCCCTCTCTCTTCCTCCCTGTAAAAATCAATAAAATATATTTTAAAAATAAAATAAAACACATAGGAACCAGTCAAGGATAGCTAAATGCTTTGTTTAAGGTAAAAGGAATTATGGTTCTGTTTTGAAGAAAAGCTTTCTCAGAGATACATACTAAAATAAAGTATATGTAGATGAAAGTGATAAGATATCTAGATTTGCTTTAAAATAATGGGGGGGAGGAGGACAAATAAAACAGGACTGGCCATTGTGTTGCTAATTGCTGAAGCAGAAGTATCCCCGCCTGAGGTTGGAGGAGCCATCTTCCCAGTCTCTCTACTTTATCGTACATTTAAAATATCCATAATAAAACAACAATTAAAAAAAAACCTAAGGCCATGCAAACAGTGTTTTATCTCCAGTGGCCACTTGCTTTGATTTGTAAAATAGAGAGAGTACAGTGGTTTCAGCCGGCTGTTAGAACAGGAAGCAGTGAGATCTGGCTGAGGGAGATAAGCACAAAGGTGGTGAGTCATCTCTGGCCCCACAGGAGCAGCACCCCAAATGTCCAAGTGGGGGCCAAACGCCAGCTTTAATAAGCAGCGTGCAGGGTGAGAGTGAGGGTGATATTTACCGAGTCCCCGTCCACACAGTTATAACTCCTCTTCAGAGCTTTTCTTGGGATCACTGAATGAATTTTCACAGGAAGAGAACAAAAAAAAGAGCATTATTATTATTATTATTATTATTTTCTTTTGAATCAAGTTCCTCCCAAGCATTTCCCAGGCCTCTCATGCTTGTGGGTCCAGCAGGCTTCCATCACATTTTAGAACAGCTTCCTTGGGTTAGGGATGCCCCCTCCCCCCAACTCATGAGGCTAGAACCCTAAAACAGAGCTACCTCAGGCCCCGTGAGGTTCAGGGACAGAAAGACCTCAGCCAGAGGTTAAAGGACAAGGACTAACTGACATTAGGCACATGCACTTCCTGAGGAGGAGACCAAGACATCAATAAAGAGAAGATGAAGGAAAGGAAAGGGTAATTAAACTGTGATACATAAACAACTAACGGGGAGGGAGGGAGGAGGGGAAGGGAGGGAGGCAGGGAGGGACAGTGTAAAGCAGTGCAGGGGCAGCAAACCAAGGGCGAGTCAAAGGTCAGAGGGACAGTATCCAGCCTGCAGGCCTTGTTTGTTGGCAATTACAGGTCTCCGCTGCCAACCTGCAAAAATCAGCAGCGGCTCCTTACCTCCAACTCAACCAGCTCATATGCAGGCTGTGGGCACGGGCCATGGACAGGCATTTTAGTGTCCACCTCAAGGTCTCCCATATAAGTACTGCATTACGCCTCTCTGCCCTCCCCCTCTCTCTCTCTCCCCCTCTCTCCCTCTTTCTCTCTCTCTCTCCATTCATTCATATATTATACACACATGCATTTATTAAATTTGGGGATAGAGGAGGGACTAACCCCCCTCCCCCAACCTGTTTTCCTCTACCACACCTTCCCAGATTCATGGCAATGAGCTAACGGTGTGCAAGGAGGCGAAGACCTCTGCTCCCGAACACCCGCTGGAGATCCGGCAGAGAGGATTCCAACCGGGGCTGCTCCTGGTGTCCGCTCAAGGCCGCCCACATCACAATCCCTTGGAGATGCTTGTTACAAATGCATCTCAGGCCTGCTGAGTCCCTCTGACCTCCGAGCCCGCCTCCGAACGCACGAGCAGATCCTGATGGCTATTCTCCCACGGGACACGGGGATTCCCAGCCTGGACAAGGTGCCCATCCCGCCCACGCACCCCCATCCCATCCCCCTCCCCCCACCCCTCCTGCCCGCCGCAGGTGCAATGAGCCCCTCGATGCTCCCACCCTCCTGGTTCAGATTCACCCCCAACCCCTTCTTCCAGCCTCTGCTCTGGGCGCGGAGGGGCCCCTCGGGAGCCGCCTGGAAATCCCCGGGCGGGCCGGAGCCCGCGCCCCGGGAGGACCGCCTCGGGCCGGGGTCCCGCGTCCCAGGAGGACCGCCCCGGGCCTGAGCCCTCACCCCGGGAGGACCGCCTCGGGCCGGGGTCCCGCGCCCTGGGAGGACCGCCCCGAGCCGAGGTCCCGCGTCCCAGGAGGACCGCCCCGGGCCGGGGTCCCGCGTCCCGGGAGGACCGCCTCGGGCCGGAGCCCGCACCCGGGGAGGACCGCCTCGGGCCGGGGTCCCGCGTCCCAGGAGGACCGCCCCGGGCCCGAGCCCTCACCCCGGGAGGACCGCCTCGGGCCGGGGTCCCGCGCCCTGGGAGGACCGCCCCGGCCGGGGTCCCGCGTCCCGGGAGGACCGCCTCGGGCCGGAGCCCGCACCCGGGGAGGACCGCCTCGGGCCGGAGCCCGCACCCAAGGAGGACCGCCTCGGGCCGGGGTCCCGCGCCCCGGGAGGACCGCCTCGGGCCGGGGTCCCGCGCCCCGGGAGGACCGCCTCGGGCCGGAGCCCGCGCCCCGGGAGGACCACCCCGGGCCTGAGCCCTCACCCCGGGAGGACAGCCTCGGGCCGGGGTCCCGCGCCCCGGGAGGACCGCCTCGGGCCGGGGTCCCGCGCCCCGGGAGGACCGCCTCGGGCCGGGGTCCCGGGTCCCGGGAGGACCACCCCGGGCCGGAGCCCGCGCTCACCCGGGCCGTAGGCGAGGAAGCCCTGCCAGCGCGGCAGCAGGTCGGTGCGGGGCAGCTGCTGCAGGACCCTGACCAGGACGCGCGCCGCGGTGTCCGGGGGGTAGTGCTTGGCGAGGAGCCGCGCCAGCCCCGCGATGCTGCCGCCCTCCAGCTCCAGCTTGAGCGGCGTCACGCGCGGCTCCTCGTCCAGCTTGGCGAGGAGGGAGCGGAAGGTGCGCAGCTCCTGCGGGGACAGCAGGTCCAGGGTCTCCTGCAGGCGGTGCAGCAGCTCCTCCCAGGCCTGCGTGGTCTCCCCGAGGGCCTGGGGGCCGTCGGACCCCGAGAGAAGGCCGCCTCCGAGGCTCCCCTCCATCTTCGCCCGACGGATCTGCAGCCCTCGGAGGCCAGGAAAGTCCTCGGAGGCCCGGCCCGCGCCGCGCACGCCTCCCGTCCCCCCTCTTTGTTTTGAATAGAAGGAGCGGTTCCGCCCGAACGGCAGCCGCGGAGCCTGCCTATGGGCGTTCGCGCCTTCCCCGAGGCCACGCCCCTCACCCCAGCTCCCCTCTTCCTCCCACGCACTCCCCCCCTCCAACGGTCTCTGCCTTAACCCTTGGCGCTCAGGGTGGGGGAGCCGATCGGGAATGGGCCCTGCAGGCTCCTCCGGGGTTCTCTGCCTTGGGCCGCTGCGCCTTAGGGCCCATCACCTGGGGAACTTTTAAAGCGCTTCGTGCCCAGGCCACGAAGATAGTAAAATCTTCGTGGCTGAAGATAGTAAAATCTGGTGGAGGAGGAGGGCCAAAACCGGTTTGGCCCAGTGGGTAGAGCACTGGCCTGTGGACTGAAGGGTCCCAGGTTCAAGTCCGGTCAAGGGCATGTACCTTTGTTGCGGGCACATCCCCAGTAGGGGGCGTGCAGGAGGCAGCTGATGTTTCTCATGTTTCGAACTCTATTCCTCTCCCTTACTCTCTGTAAAAAAACAAAACAATAAAAATATATTTTTAAATCAATAAAATATATATATTTAAATCGATAAGATGTTTAAAAAAAAAAAAAAACTTGTGGGGGCAGGCCCAGGCAGGCATCAGTAGGTTTAAAGCTCTCCAGATGATTCCAATGGTTATCCAAGTTTGAGAACCACGGGTCTTACGCTCCAAGGCGTTATCAGCTCCCTAGCCAGCGGTTCCCACGGAGCCAGAAGCACTTACAGGCTGCTGCATCGACCCAACTTTTAGGGGAAACAGTGTGGTGACAAAAAAAGCTGAGATGTGGGAATTTGGTGCCCACAAGAAGTGAGAAGTGCACACTGCTCAGCCAGTGGGACAAAACAAGAGCGGCCATTGTGTTGCTAATTGTTGAAGCAGGATGAGTATGGGGGCTGAGGTTCGGAGGATCCATTTTCCCAGCCTCTCTAGTATATACTTAAAATATCCAGAAGAGCTGAGACCGGTTTGGCTCAATGGATAGAGCATCGGCTTGGGGACTGAAGGGTCCCGGGTTTGATTCCGGTCAAGGGCATGTACCTTGGTTGCAGGCATATCCCCAGTAGCGGGTGTGCAAGAGGCAGCTGATCGATGACTCTCTCTCATCGATGTTTCTAACTCTCTATCTCTCTCCCTTCCTCTCTGTAAAAAATCAATAAAATATATTAAAAAAAAATAATAAAATATGCAGAAGAAAACTCCAACAGCAATTAGGAAAACCTTGGTGAGCAGATCTCAGCTTCACAATCCCCAGTCTTTATTGCTGGCTCCCTGGCTTGATCAGGCCCATAGGGAGGACAGTGACTCTAATCGTGGTTTGTCCCCAGAGGACTTACTTTTGAACAGTCGGTGGAAGGATCTCAAGACCTTATTTGAATCCTGATTTAGATAAACTTATTGTAAACATTTTTGAGGCGGTTAGAGTGGAGGAACGCAGGAGGCACAAAGTGGTGAACTATAAATGTATTGTTCCATCTATGAGCAGAAGGGCTGAGACCAAAATGGCACCAGAGGGGCAGAGCAGGGGAGTGGAATAGTGCTGTCTCTTGGTGAAGGTCACGCAGAGTAAGGGGTGGGACCAGGTGCAGGTGGGGCCCAGGTGTAGGTGGTCCACTGGAAACTGGGTGAGGTGGTTTATGGGAAACTGAAGGTGGTTTATGAGGAAATGTAAGGTGAGAATAACAGGAAAATCTCAGGGAGTTTCCTGTTATTGGGGCAAGAGCCCCGAGCAGGGCATAATGGAGTGCCAGAATGTGCATAACAGAGATCAGAGAAATGTGAATACAGGCTGGGTATTGGAGGATATACCAAAAAATACTAACTTTTTCCAAGTGGGATAATAACATTGCAGTCACGCAAAAAAAAAAAAAAAAAAAGCCCTATGTTTTGAGCTGCACATTGAAATGTGAAAAGGTGAAAGGTGTGATGTCTGGGATCTGCTTTTAAAAGCTTCACAAAAGAAAAAAGTGGGGGCAAGAGTAGAAAGCCAAACAAGAGTTATCAGGGCAAAATCCTGATAACTGTGTCAAAATAACATTCGCTCCCACTCCTGTGACGTTTGGAATATTTCCCAGTATGTATGTGGGAACTGAGTACAATGGCAGCTTGAAAGCTTGGCATCTGACCTTTTTGCTCTGCCTTACCAGTCTCCCCTCTCCCCCCACTTCCTCCTTAAGTAATTTGCCTTAGGCAGCCGAGAGCTGAATTAATTTTTAAAAAGTAAAGGGGTGGAGGGGGGATTACAGTGAGCAATGTTTACAGAGTCACTTCCTCTCTGAAATGTGATATCCTTGGGAGGGCAGGACAGGAAAAAACAAATTCTTGGGGCCTGGGATATGCAACCCCCAAGGTCACTTGCCTCTGATTATCACCGTGTAACAAGGTCACTCGAGCTGGTTCACAAAGGCAAGTTGCAGTCTCACCCTAGGTTTAGAGGAAATTAGACTATTTCCCCAATCGTTTGATTATTTTCCCCTAAAAGGACAAATGAAGAGCATGGAATGGTGTCTCTGGTGGCTGAACTTCACCAGTCAAATAGGCGGCAGGCGAATCTGCCCTGGGATGAAGCCCACACCTCTGGGCCTCATCTCTGCCCCGCCCTCCCAGGGGCCTCACTGACTTAAGGCTCCAAAGGCCCAGAATGAGAATCAAAGGAGACCGAAGAGGCCCTGAGAAAGAACCTGAGAGCCATGGCTGAGTCCTTAGGAGACAGCCACTCCTCCCTCTGTCCCCTTTCATTCCTGTCCCAACACACCATTCTCAGTCCTAAGTGCTCCGCTGCTTTTCCCAGCACAGGCCCTCACCCGTCAGTCACCATGCACTAGGGACTCAGGTGCCACTAGGAGGTTAGTGTCCTACTCTGTTCTGATACTCCTTCCCATGTAATTGGAAAAAAAAAAAAAAAAAAAAAATAGGGTATTTTAACCTAAAACCTAAAGTATAAAATTAAACTTGTAAATCATTGAACTTCATGTTATGAGTTGATTTGTGTCCATCCCTGAAGATATTGGAGTCCTAACCTCCAGTTTTTATGTAACCGTATTTGGAAACAGGGTCTTTGCAGATGTAATCAAGTTAAGATGGGATCATTCTGGGGTAGATGGGCCTTAATCCAGTGGCTGGTGTCTTTAAGAGAAGATGGAGTCTTAGACGGTTTGGCTCAGTGGGTAGAGCGTTGGCCTGCAGACCAAAGGGTGCTAGGTTCAATTCCAGTCAAGGGCACATATCTTGGTTGCAGGCTCCTCCCCGGCCCAGGCCCTGGTCGGGACTGGTGCAGGAGGCAATCAATTGATGCATTTTCCTCCCATCAGTATTTGTCTTTCCTTCTCTTTCACACTCTCAAATCAATGGGAAAATATCCTCAGGTAAAGATGTTTAAAAAAAGAGAGAGGATGGGGATTTGGACACGTAAGACACACGGGCAGATTGGAGCGGTGAGTGCCAAGAATTGCCAGGAGCCACCAGACGCTGGGGGAGAAAAGGAACTAGAGCCTTCAGAGCGTGGCCCTGTGACACCTTGATTTCATCTGTAGGGTCCAGAACTGTGAGACTCAGTTTGCTGTTAGAAGCCACCGTTTGTGCTGATTTATTGTGGCAGCCCTAGGAAACGAATGCAAACTGCTCCTTTCCCTCGGTTAGGAAACGTTACCACCGCCATTCTCTACGCAATTTCCAGTGTGTCCAGGAGGTGGAGGGCCAGGCTTTCAACCCGGGCCGCCTGGATCACAGCCAGGTACTTAACCAGGAGACCAAATTTCCCCTCTCTGGCGCTTAAAGGAACAGCCCTTCCCTAAGCTTGAACGTTGACAGGAAAACTTGGATGGCTAACAGGCAGTAAGTATCACGTGATGAGGAAAACGTGGGGAGATTGGAACCCTCATATACGGTTGCTTGGGGATGTGAAATGGAGCAGCCACTTTGAAGAACCTGATAGTTTCTCCACTGGTTACAGTTTTAACACGTGATCCAGCAAATTATACTCCTAGGCCTTACAGGGGTGGGCAAAAGTAGGTCTACAGTTGTGAGTACTGGAGAGTATATTCTTGTATTATTATTATTATATTATTTGGATTATACAAACCTATTTTTGGCCATTCCCGTATATGCAAGGGAAATGAAAATGTACATCCATACTAACATGTGTACATGAATGTTCATAGTGGCATCGTTCGTAAGAACCCCAAAGTGGCCGAGACTGGTTTGGCTCAGTGGATAGAGCGTCGGCCTGCGGACTGAAAGGTCCCGGGTTCGATTCCGGTCAAGGGTATGTACCTTGGTTGTGGGCACATCCCCAGTAGGGGGTGTGCAAGAGGCAGCTGATCAATGATTCTCTCATCGATGTTTCTAACTCTGTATCCCTCTCTTCCTCTCTGTAAAAACCCAATAAAATATATTAAAAAAAAATAAGAACCCCAAAGTGGAAACAAAATATTAGTTCACTGACGGATAAATAACATAGGGTACAGGCATGCAATATAGCATCCTGCCACTAAAAAAGGATAAAGTGTTGGATATGCCACATCAGAGATGAACCGTTAACACATGATGCTAAGTGAAAGAAGCCAGCCACAGAAGCCAACATACTGTATGGCTCCATTGACATGAGATCTAGAGAAAAGGCAAATTTAAGACAGAAAGCAGACCAGTGGCTGCCTGGGGTTGAGGATTAACTATAAATGAGATCTTGAGGGATACACGCGTTCTAAAATTGATTTATGGTGACGATTGCAGTAAAGTTACTAAAAATCACTGAATTGTATATTTGCAATGGGCACACCGATGACAAGTAACATAATACTGTTTAGACATTTTAGGTCCTAGATTTTAGGACCTACCTAGGTCTTAGGACGGCGTGATGACACTATTTAGTTTTCTAAGAAGTTTCAATGGTAAAGTGCTGAGTTTTATTTACCTGGACTTCAGCTGCAGAAAATGCCAGAACTCAGAGGTGAAACAGTGCTGGGACAAAATAAAAAACCTTTATTGGGACACTGAGAGGCTAGGAAGCCACTGTCCCCCCTTCGGCAGGGCCTCCGCAGGTGAATGAACCAATTCTTCCTCATCCCCACATCTCCGATGCAGACTTTGGCCTGGTGACAGTGACTCCTCTTTCTGCAGAACCGCGCCCTCCCCCCTCCCCCTTCCGCTGGAGTCCCTCAGTCACGGCAGGTGGCCCGCAGCTTCTCTGGCTTTGCACTTCCTTGTCCAAGGACAGACCCCAGAGGCACAGTAGTATGGGGGTGGCGGAGGCGGAGACCCCCGACAGAGCGCTCTCCCTGGAAATGCTGTCAGGTTTGCAGGGTGTGCAAGCCCTTCTCCCCCAGGTGCCTGCGTGTGTCTCAGTGGCTCCTCTTCAGGGAGATTCTGAGAGCTGGAGTCAGGCCCACCTATTCGCTACCTGGCCTGGGTAACAAGGTGACTTATCTGCCTGGCTCTCCCCATAGGGCTTCGTCTCCGTCCAGGATGGAGAGGAAGCAGCTCTTGGCAGACACCAGGCAGGGCAACAGGTCCCATCTCTTCCCGGTGCCCCTGGGTCAGGACTTGAGGCCCATCTTGGCCATCATCTCTTCGTAGACTGTCCACGCCATGGCTGCCATCAGAGTCCTGCGGAGGACCCGGGGGACCCCGCCTTGGAAGAAGCCACGCAGCCCGTAGTCCTGGGAGGGAAATGAATGTAAAAACTCTGGTAAGTAGCAATAGCGTTATATCCCGGCCACAGAGTGAGGTCTCTCAGTACCCCGTTTTTGAGTCTTAGTTTTTAGGCTTTTATAAATAATGTCCAAACTATGACTAATGAGCTCAAGAAGACAATGAACTTAAAAAAACCCAGGCTTCAACATTTGGTGTAGAAACAGTCTCACCTTGTGCTAAGTACCTGGGAGACCATTCTTACCAATGAGAGGGCCAAGAAATGGATTTGGCAACCTTTTGTAGGACAAATACTTTGGTATCATTAAATTCATGACTTGTCTAGTATAATCTCTTACTCCAAAGGAGTTTCTGTACATTTTAGTACTGCATTTTTCTTTTGTTTTTGTTTTAGTATTACATTTCTTTGTATTTCTTGTATTGGGCAAGGGTTCGTGTTCTTTAAGCTGAAAATTTCCTCCTGAAATTAATATCCATGCAATCACCATGAAGTACATTATAATAATTTTTTTTTTTTTTTTTTTTTTTTTTTTGCTTACTTGCTAAACTTTCTTTCTAGGTTTGCTCCCACCCAGGGGATTTATTTCTTGGCTGCACAGAAGCACCAGGCCCAGTGGCAGCTGGAAACCAGACCAAGGTCTGCTCGCCCAGCCGTGGGTCCTGGCTCCAGGCAGAAGGAAAAGGTGCCTTTTTGACAATTTCTTTGCCTAGAGGGAGCTTTTTGGGGAACGGGGAAGGGAGAGGGAGATAATTCACTGTATATTTTTGGTGGCTCTATATAAGAATTAAAGACAAAACACCTCTTTTTTATCCCCCATAATCTGAATTAATTTGTTCATTCCTATTGTTATATTCCTGCCATTTTATCATATATTAAAGAATATATTTTAGGTAGGGGCTGGGGGATGGGGAAGTGGGGAAAATGGGAGATAGCTGTAATACTATCAACAATAAATATATATACATGTGTATCTATGAATATATTTCAGACCAAGTGACTTGAGGTGTAGAGAAGAAGAAAGCAGGCAATCTAAGCAGTGTGAAGATATGATCAGGTTCATAAATATCTGCTTTTATCTAGGGTGGAACTTGACGCATATGCTCAGGTTTCCTCTGCTGCATAGAAAAATTGACAAGTACAGAAAAAATCTAAAGATACAGGTGATAAATTTAGCGCAAACAAGAGTATCTGGTGGGTGGTAATAGTACATGTTTCCCAACAGCCAACGCAGTGGTTTTATTTTTTTTAATGTATTTTATTGATTTTTTACAGATAGGAAGAGAGGGATAGAGAGTTAGAAACATCGATGAGAGAGAATCATCTACCAGCTGCCTCTTGCACACCGGGATGTGCCCGCAACCAAGGAACATGCCCTTGACCGGAATCGAACCCGGGACCTTTCAGTCTGCAGGCAGACGCTCTACCACTGAGCCAAACCGGTTTCGGCCAACTCAGTGGTTTTAAATAGTACTTCAAAGCATTTACGACTACTGTACTGTTATCTTCAGTGACACCATTTGCAGAAGAGCAAGTGAGAAACAAAATGTGCTTGTGGTTTTTTTCTGACTGTATTTCCTCCTGAGTCCTTAACAAGTCTCCCCGGATCGCCTGATTCAATGAGTCTGGGGTAGAACCCTACAATCTACATGCTTTACAAATACCACAGGTTGTCCTAATATAGGGCCCCTGGAAAAACAAACAAAACACTGACTGTAGGTTTTCAGCAGTGACTCTCAATTTTTGCAACAAGATTTAAGAGCCACTGGGGAACGCCCTAACTGGTTTGGCTCAGTGGATAGAGCGCTGGCCTGCGGACTGAAAGGTCCCAGGTTCGATTCGGGTCAAGGGCATGTACCTTGGTTGCTGGCATATACCCAGTGGGGGGTGCAGGAGGCAGCTGATTGATGTTTCTCTCTGATCGATGTTTCTTACTTTCTATCCCGCTCCCTTCCTCTCTGTAAAAAAATAAAATAAATTTAAAAAAAAAGAACCACTTGGGAACTTAAAATACGGATACCTGGTTTTCACCCCCCAGAAACTCTGCTGTACTCAGCTCAGGTTGAGGGGATTTTTAAAAGCTCCCCAGGTGACTCTACTGTGTAAAGCACATGTGTCAAACACAAGGCCTGCGGGCCAAATCTGTCCCGCCAGGCCTTGCAATGTGGCCCGCACCGCGCTGTCATCACTGCACTCCGCTGCGTTTCCATCACAATGACAGTTTATGACTGTTCAGTAAACCATTCGGCCCGCGATTTAGGCTGGATTTTAGATTTTGGCCCCTTCTCTGATTGAGTTCGACACCCCTAGTGTAAAGGATAAGAGCTACTGCTACTCTAGAGAGAGCGTCTTAACCGCAATGAGAACAAATATGGATTGTACAGCCTTACTTTGAAGATGATCGTCACTGCCTGGCCGATCCACCGAAATTTCCCTGGGGAGAGCTGCATATGAGTTTTGATGACATCTGCAGGCTGAGTTACCAGTGAGGCCAGAACCCCAGCAAATACCCCACAGCTGAAGTTTACAACGGGAATAAGGGCTGCATCCAACTGGTCTGAAACAGGAAAGAGGGAACACTCAGTTGTAAACAGATCTCATTCATCAGATAAATATCGATGCCAAGTTGCCCACTAATTTTTCCCCAAAGCCAGAAGGGCCTGGATTTGGACAAAGTTGAGAATTAAAAATTTAAAGATATAACTAATAAGTGTTGATGGAGTGAAGATTCACCTTTTTATAACCATCACAATTGATTCAAGCAAGAATCAATGCCTAATGCTCAAATGTATAGATGAAGGGAACAAGAAGTTTTATATGGATTTAAGTAGGTTCAAAGTATCTTCCCACAGAGATACAAATTACAATAATAATAATAATAATAATTGAGTTTTCAATGGAGATGCTACCTTATCCACATGATAAAAAGTTAACATCACCCACAATGGGTCAGACTGATGTCATGAGCTTCCCGATGTAAGGTACTTGGGACACAATATCACTTACTGGTCCTCTTGCAACCTTAGAACCAGGCAGATTTAGGAAGCATTCTTAAGGGCCTCTGTAGAAGTGCTTTGTTCTGCCCCACCCCTCATTAAGAATGACAGTGCATCCCTTTCCAAAGGCTGCACGTGAAAGGGCAGAGACCACACCTGTGATGCCCGCTGCACCCCAGCGCCTGGCCCTGGCCCGCCACAATGCCCAGGCTCAGTTCTTAAAACCCTGCTGAGGATCCGGAGCTGCTAAGAGCAACAGTCTCCCAGTAGCAGAGAAAGCGGTGAAGATGCATCTCAGGAGATCTTTCCCCCCCCACTCCTTCTTTTACCAGTACCATGGGGCACGATGGCTTTGGTCTGGTTGTAAAACATCAGGTAGATTCCGGAAAAGGGGGCATCACGAAGGAGTGTGGCTGTCAGGCCGCTGAAGAGGCCCCGGTGGCCCTCGCTGCGGTAGATGCTCCGCAGGGCTGCGTAGACGCTCTCGTAGCCGTACCTCCCGCTCTGCGAAGGAAGCACAGGACAGGGGCTCGCACGGTGGCCCCGGATGTGAGCACAGAAGCAGGCCAACTTCAGGGTGGCTGGCATTACCAGGGCACCGGGCCCTGGCTCACACACGGCTTGGCCTGAATACTCAAATGGGTTCTCTGGGAGGTGGCTCAAGGAGCTTCCTGCCTCTGTTTACCCACCCTGAGGGCCTAACGTGGTCAAACTCACCTCGTAACGTGTCTTGATCACAGTGATGGGCGACATGCAGACCCCTGCGACCGAGCGCGAGCTCACCCCCAGCATGACGGACTCCATGGCAGTGGGGGGATGGCCTCGCAGGAAGTATTGCTTCAGAGAGTAGAGGGTCCCGAAGTAGATTCCAACACCAGGGACACATCTCACAATGGACTGCAGAGAGGGGTGGTGGTGGTGGTAAGAGATGGAGAAGGAAAGAAATCGAAGGTCGGTACTGTCAGATACTGTCTTAGCTGGGTTTTCCCAAAGGACCCAGGATTTGCATGCAAGTAGTTGATTGGAGAGAGGGCAGACGGTCCATCAGTTACTCCCACGGTCAAGGGAACCCCTTTGGGGAACGCTGGGCAGGGTGGAGGACATGCCTCAGAGCTATCCCTCCACCCGAGGAGGGGAGTGAGGTAGAAGCTGCACTAGCAAGCCGGACCTTGTTAGGATGCAGATGCACGTCCCCTGCCTCACACAGCAAGGGAGCCACCGCGAGACAGGCAGGAGGACTGTGCAGATCCTCCCACCACTTCCAATGCTCACGTTTGCTTAAAGGAGGATATATGGGGTAGACGAGTTAGGAAGGAGAGGGTGCAAGAGAAGATCCAGAGGCAGCTTACAGGGGACACCCCTTTCCACAGGCCCAGGAGACTCTCGGTGCGGACCACCTGCAGGAGCAGAGCGAGCATCCCCACGCGCCTGGATCTGCGGGCAGACAGCAGGGAGGGAGGGAGGGAAAGTCACAGCCCGCACCCGCACAGGGCAGCTCCCGCTCCACGACTCCCCTGCGTGGACCCGTCAGGGCACTTAAGAGTCTATAATTTGCCCTAACCATTTGGCTCAGTGGATAGAGCGTCAGCCTGCGGACTGAAGGGTCCCAGGTTCGATTCCAGTCAAGGGCACATACCTTGGTTGCGGGCACATCCCAGGTGGGGAGTGTGCAGGAGGCAGCGGATCGATGTTTCTAACTCTCTAACCCTTTCCCTTCCTCTGTAAAAAAAATCAATAAAATATATTAAAAAAAAAAAAAAAAAAGAATCTACATGCATCTTGGAATCTCAGAATTCTTAAGTGTCGTGATTTGACACTTATGTGTTTATCTGTCCAGTCATCCTACAATCAATGGAATAACCTGACCTGATTTAAATCCTTCCAGTTCATACATATTTAGTACACTGCCCACGGGGACGCAGAAAAAGACACTCCATACTGGCAGCACAGGGACATTACGGCTAGCACAATAACACGCAAATGTCACCCAGGCAGATCCAGGAAGCTGCTCAGGGAAGGACCCCGTTTAGTCAACATTAAATTACATAAATTAATTACACCAGTTAATGTAAAAAGTATTTACAGAGAAGAATATACACAGAACCCATGAAGGGAGAGCCTGGCCTGCTTCCCAGCCAGCAGCCAACAGAACGGAGGTGGCCGTCACACGGTACAGATGCTCCAGGGCCAGAGGGAGGGACGGAAACCAGTCCCTCAGGGAGATGGGGGACAGCAGGCCTTACCCATGGGCCGAGGGCTGGAGTGTCTGCAGGCGCGTTTTGAGGAGATCCAGGGGCTGGAAAAGGAGGGTGGAGCAAGTGCCACTGATGGAACCGCACAGGAAAGCCTTGATCGTGGGGTGCAACTGCAGGACAAGAGAACACTGTCATCTGTGGGAGGATCTCATAAAAGCCACCTGGTGGCGCCCTCTACTGGCTTCACCAGGTGACTGCCGATCCGGCAGCCAGGAGTGATCCGCCTGCAAGGCTGTTGAGAGCAAAGCAGGCGGCAGGGGGAGCTCTCTGGTCCTGATATTGCTAACCTGGCTCCTACTGAGCGGCCTATTTCATGGGTGTCCCCACAATAAAGATTACTGCCCATCTCCTTATCTTCACAAAAGCAAAACCGACTGAACACGGTGTTTGGACTCTGAACGGCTGGTTCCCAGGCTCCCTGGCTACAGGGCCTGCAGACATTTATAGGAACAAGACAAAGGAAGTGAAACCTTAAGTGTAAGGCATGCGCCACTTCCTGTGAAACCTACGGTTTCCTTAATTTAAAACTTTCCCCTTCCCTTTCCCCCACCCATCTCTCTGAGACCTCAGCAGCGCGCTGAGGGTGTGGTAGACCAGTGGCCTTCCCTGGTTCTGCTGGCTCTCCTGTCATACACACTGATGAGTCCAGAGGCACCACCAGGGAGGGCAGGAATCCATCAAAAACTCAATGGACTCCCCCAGCCGAGCGCCAGAGCCCTCACAGCATGCCCCAGGATCCAGGATTTTGAGGAGATGAGGAAGGCTGACATCTTTCAGAGTGCAAAGTGACTCTGGCATGTCAAGAATCTCTCTGGGTTGTGTCCCATGGAAGTTTGTCACTGACCCGAGTTCCTCAACTATGAAACACGAATCTCTGAGCTAAGGAATAGCTCTTGATAAACAATTAAGAAATACTGAAAAATAGCCCTAACCAGTTTGACTCAGTGGATAGAGCATCCATCTGCAGACTCAAGGGTCCCAAGTTTGATTCTGGTCAAGGGCATGTATCTTGGTTGCCGGCACATCCCTAGTAGGGGGTGTGCAGGAGGCAGCTAGCTGATTGATGTTTCTGTCTCATCGATGTTTCTCTCTCTCCCTCTCCCTTCTTCTCTGTAAAACAAAACAAAAAAAACCAAAATATATTTTTTTAAAAAGAAATACTGAAAAATAAAAATCCAATAAAAAAGGAAAACCTTCTCCAAAGAATTACTTGGCAATCTCCATTCAAAACGGTATTCTCCTCCTCATTATTATTATTTTTTTTTAGCATATTTTTATTGATTTCAGAGGGCAAGGGAGAAGGAGAGAGAAACATCAATGATGGGATCACTGGTCGACTGTCTCCTCACACCTCCTACTGGGGAATGAGCCTACAATCCGGGCACGTGTCTTTGACTGGAATCGAACCTGGGACCCCTCAGTCTGCAGGCCTACGCTCCATCCACTTACCCAAACCACCTAGGGTCCCCTTGTTATTTTTAAATAAATGGTACACATGGTCCTAAAACACTATTAAGATGAATATAAAGTTGCCTTTATGCACATCATGTAACCAAAATGATTACGATCTGTGATGTTTGCTTCCCAGAGAAGAGAAATCATTCCACATTCCACCAAACAACCCAGTCACAAGTTATAACTGGAATTACTTAAAAGATTGTTGGGAAAGGATTAGATAAGTTCAGACAGTAAGCAGTGCAGTTTATAACCATGTTCAGGCAGCTTGTAAAAGTATCAAAGGATGGTAGAATTGGCAAGACAGCCTGGCCAGCGTGGCTCAGTGGCTGAGCATCCACCTAGGAACCAGGAGGTCATGGTTTGATTCCCGGTCAGGGCTCATGCCCAGGATGTGGGCTCGATTCCAGTGTGGAGTGTGCAGGAGGCAGCTGATCAATGATTCTTGCTCATCATTGATGCTTCTCTCTCTCTCTCTCTCTCTCTCTCTCTCTCTCTCTCTCTCTCTCTCTCTCTCTCTCTCTCTCTCTTTCTCTGCCTCTCCGTGCCAGTGACATCCTCTCTGTTGCCTGGAAACAAGCTCGCAAGCCCCCCAGCTTCCCAGCTCAATGGCCAGCCATCTCCTCTCCCTCTTCACTCCTCAGACCCCCATCGCCTGCCTTCCAGCCACGGCGTCTCACTAAGCTGCCCTGGTGCTTGCCAAGGACCTCATTCCCATCTTTATCGTTTCTTACGTGGTGGTCCCACTGGTGCATCTGAGGTGGCTGATGGCCTCTCCTCTCAGGTTGGGGTTCTCTCTCTTCTCCTGGCTGCCTGCTGTGTCTCCTTTCCCTCAGCCTGCCTGCAGATGTTGCTGTTCCCTTATCTCCTCCAGCTGCAGCCTCTCAGGGCAACCTCACCCTGCCCACACCCACACCCACACCCACACCACACTCACACCCACACCCACACCCACACCCACACCACACTCACACCCACATCCACACACACACCACACACAGGCAGCAACACCCACACCTCCAGCCCAGGAGGCTCGGCCAGACACTGACATTCCCACCCCCCCTCCACCTCCCATTGGCCTCAGGCATCTCAACCTCAACATTCCAACACGGAAACTCAGCCAACAGCTCAACTTATCCCATGAGACATCTGAGAGACACATAAGACTCCTCAGTCTATCTACTGCTTCATGACCAAGTGCTGCTGATGACCCCTCACCCAGAGTCTGCCCCTACAGGTCCATCCTTTTTCCCCCCCAAAATATATTTCTTTATTGACTTCAGAGAGGAAGGGAGAAGGAGAGAGAGAAACATCATGATGAGAGAGAATCATTGATGGGCCACCTCATGCACACCCTCCACTGGGGATCGAAGCAGAAACCCAGGCATATGCCCTTGGCCAGAATCGAACCTGGGACCCTTCAGTCCACAGGCCAATGCTCTATCCACTGAGCCAAGCTGGCTAGGGACCCGCCGGTCCATCCTAGTGGCCTCTGGGCATTCTCCAGCCCTAACTGTGCCAACCTCCCCCTTCCACCGTGCTCCCAGAACAGCACTGGGCAAGGCATCTACACCCACCACCTCAAAAAATCTCACAACACTTAAGAGCTGGGTGTTAACTCGCTCGACAAATGAAACCAGAGCTCACACAGGTTACAAACCTGTCCTGAGACCCAGGGTTTGCAGACGCCAAGTTCAGGCTCTTTTCACCACACCCCCCAGCCTGAAGTGGGCACGTGGCCCCACCGTTGACCACTACTGGCCTTGTCTTGGGATGCTCTCTCCTGACTTCAGGGACTGCCTCCCACTTCTCTGGCCTCTGTTCTGGGTGAAAACGCTCCTCTTCTTTCCCTGACAGCACGCCTACCCCCGCCACCCGCTCCCATGGTTCCATCTCCAGCCCTCGGTCCACACTCGCAACCCTTCCAGAGCTTCAGACCCACATACATGTCCACTCACTCAGCTGTGCCACAGCACATTTCCTACCTGCACTCATCTCTCTCCCTCACCCCCACCTGCTCCTCCTGGCCGCCCTGTCCCAGGAAATGCCGTGCCATTTACCCACCCCGCTGCCCCTGCCAGAAGCCTGGGCAGCACCCTGACTCGGCCCCTCTGCACCTGCTCATCCTACCTCCGAACAGCTCTCCATCTGTCATCCCAGCTCAGGGCCCCATCCTCCTCGGTGACAGCCACCACCTCTTCCCTCACCTCATCACTTTGATCCCTCTGGTCCAGTGGTCGGCAAACTCATGAGTCCACAGAGCCAAATATCAACAGGACAACAATTGAAATTTCTTTGGAGAGCCACATTTTTTAAACTTAAACTTCTTCTAACGCCACTTCTTCAAAATAGACTCACCCAGGCTGTGGTATTTTGTGGAAGAGCCACCCTAAAGGGGCCAAAGAGCCGCATATGGCTCGTGAGCCGCAGTTTGCCGACCACGGCTCTTTACATATAAGGAAACTAACTGCAAATCTGACCACGCTGCTTCCAGGGGCAAACACCTTCAGGGAGAGACCTGAATTAAAATTTAAAAACGATGCTCCTTAGTTGTTCCTATTCCTCCAAAGGTAAAGTCCAAACTGCTGGTTTGGAGGACCTTCCCCGAATCAACAGGCCCCATCTTATCGTTGTTCCCTGTGCCCTCAGCCTCCTGCCTCTTACTCTCTGCAGTTCTGATGGAGGGACTCTGCCTCTTCTCACCTGTGAGAACTCTACCCGAGTTCTTCCCAGGTCTAATTAGTCTGGGCCTCTGCTTAGACCTTACCCGCCCTGGAAAACCCCCCGCAGTGCTTCCACCACACCTGAGCCCATCGCCCTGTGACTGAGGGGTCAGGGCAGGTCCTGGTGGTACAGCTCATGGGTACCTCCAGCATGAGCCTGGTACACTGGTACATGTAGGTGTTCAACTGTCAACAATGAGTGAATCAGCCCTGGCTGGTGTGGCTCAGATCTTGGGTTCAATTCCCTGTCAGGGCACATACCCACGTTTTGGGTTCCATCCCTGGTTGAGGTGCACGCAGGAGGCAACCGATCAATGTTTCATTCTCACATCAATGTTTCTCTCTCTCCCTCTCCTTACCTCACTCTCTAAAACCAATAAAAAAGCAGGTGAGGATTAAAAAAAAAAAAGAACCTTCTGCCAAAACCAGTTTGGCTCAGTGGATAGAGCATCGGCCTGAAGACTGAAAGGTCCCAGGTTCGATTAAGATCAAGGGCATGTACCTTGGTTGCCGGCACATCCCCAATAGGGGGTATGCAGGAGGCAGTTGATTGATGTTTCTCTCTCATCGTTGTTTCTAGCTTTCTATCCCTCTCTTACTGTCTCAATAAAATATATATTTTTAAAAAAAGAACATTCTCCATTACATAAACTATCTTTTTAACACCCCCCGCTTTTTTCCCCCCACAGCACAGTGCTAAGATATCTTATTGGCTCAATAAATATTTGGTAAATATATAAATAGAGCCGATAACTATTTGATATTTTTCTAAATAATCAAAATTATTCAAGGTAAGTAAAATGAGTAATCCAGTTCCTTTGTTTTGTAGGGCAAAAAGAACCAAACAATAGTAGACAGGTACACAAATAGTAGCACTTACATAGTTAGCAAACTAGTTCCCCAAGCAATTTCTACATGCCTTAAAACATAAAATCCTAGCCCAGCCTGCATGGCTCAGTGGCTGAGCGTCAACCTATGAACCAGGAGGTCACGGTTCAATTCCTGGTCGGGGCTCATGCCAGGGATTGTGGCTAGACGCCCAGTGTGGGGCGTGCAGGAGGCAGCAGATGGATGGTTCTCTCTCATCAGTGATGTTTCTACCTCTCTCTCCCTCCCCTTTCCTCTCTGACATCAATTTTAAAAATGTTTAAAAGTAAATAAGTAAATTCTAAAACCAGTTCAATTGTAAATCCAATAAATCTCCAGGCCGGAGCGGGATGCAGCCCCGCCTCCGTCACCACCAATAGGGACTCGGAGGCCCAACCGCGGCAGCCAATCAGGACGCCTGGGGGCGTGGCCTCGCGGCGCCGGCAGATGCACCCACTCGCGGCCCCGTCGGAGGCTGGAGACCCAAAGGTGCCCCCCTCTCCGCCCGCAGCGGCCCCAACGTCCCCGGCTGGGCCTTGCGATGGCCCCAATAACAGACCGCCCCCCAAGGCCCCGGCAATCCCGCCCATCTCTACCCAGACACCATTCCCTGCACCAGCGCGACCTTTGGTCGTGGGTCCCACGCTGCAATGCTCTCCCCCCTCCTCCTGGCTCGCCAAGTCCTCCAATCTGCACGCACCCGGGGCGCAGGAGAGGGTCCGCGGGGGCCGCCGACCCCGGGCCCCCTCCCTGAGCGGCGGTCCCGGCCCCTCTGCCTGCCCTGCCCGCGTTTTACCATGAGCGTTTCCATCCTGTCTCCCACATCTTGAGGTTGCAGCAGCGCCGGGCGTGACTTCTGAATCATTGGAGGGGGGATCTGCGAGGGCACGGGGCGCAGGGGGGCCGTCGGTGGGAGCTCCGGCCCGGCCCCGGCGGCTTGGGAGGAGATGACGCGTTCCGAGGCGGGGGCTGTCTACCGGCCGCACCGCTCGGCGTCCGCACCCGCGGGGTCCCGGGCTGCGCGCGTGGCTCCGGGCAGGCACCCGGGAACCACCTGCAGCTTCTCACTTGCGTGGCAGGCACCGCGGCTCCGCTCTCCGGCACATTCTGCCCAGGCGTCAGGGCTGGAGACGGTCGGGTTCAATGTATCAGGGGTGCGGACGGCTGGAGGAACTGGAAAGAGCCGGTGGGTTTAACTTCCGGGGTCGGAGGCTGGTCTGGAGCAGGTGAGGGCGCGCTCCTTAGCGCCACCTGGGGAAGACATCGGAACTGCAGGGGTTGGCACTTTTGTTTTGGGGGCTGTTCCAGGCTCTGGGGATACCGCAGTGAATAAAGCAGATGCCCTCATGGGGCTTACTACTTCCCTAGCAGGTCATAGCAGGTAACATTAGCTGTTGTACCTCCATACCCTCAGGTGCTGTTCTAAGTGTTTCTCCGTTGTATCTCTTCTTTTTAAAAAATATTTATATATATATATATATATATATATATATATATATATATATATATATTTAATGTATTTTATTTATTTCTTACAGAGAGGAAGAGAGAGGGATAGTTAGAAACATCGATGAGCCAAAACCGGTTTGGCTCAGTGGTAGAGCATTGGTCTGTGGACTGAAAGGTCCCAGGTTCGATTCCGGTCAGGGGCATGTACATTGGTTGCGGGCACATCCCCAGTAGGGGGTGTGCAAGAGGCAGCTAGTTGATGTTTCTCATCTACATTTCTAGCTCTCTATCTCTCTCCCTTCCTCTCTGTAAAAAATCAATAAAATATATATTTTTTTTTAAAAGAAAAGAAACATCAATGAGAGAGAATCATCCATCAGTTGCCTCTTGCACACCCCCTACTGGGGATGTGCCCTGCAACCAAGGTACATGCCCTTGACCATAATTAAACCTGGGACCTTTCAGTCCGCAGGCCGAAGCTCTACCCACTGAGCCAAACCGGTTTCGGCTGTATCTCTTCTGATGCTTTCATACTTGGGTTATCGCCATGTATAGTTCAAATTCAAATTTTACCAACGGTACCCAAATGGTCCTTCACAGCACTTCCCCCGGATTTAGAATCCAATGTAGGGTTATATACTGGTTAGTAGTCATGTCTCTTCAGTCTCCTTCAATCTGGAATAGTTCTTCAGCCTTCCCTTGACAAACATATTCTTAACATGTGACACATACAGAGCTAAGCTCCAGTTCTTCTATCCTACTGCAGGAGACTCTTGTCACCGTCAGTTACTGAATGGCAGGTAGGTGGCATCAGAACACAGTTTTGTAACCCTGTTATGATCCTCTCACATACATCAAAGATATGTATTTTACATATAAGGAAACTAACAAGCATTTAAAGTAAATTGCCTAAAATTCCACAGCTAAAAACAAAACAAAACACAAAAAAGTAACAAAATAAAATTTGCCTTTATTAATTTTACTCTCCCTTGGATCCCTGCTATACTAGCCCAATCATTTTACCCCAGAAACTCCAGTCACTCAAAACAAAATACTATTATTTTTGTCTGCAAAAAACATTGAAATCAGAAATTTATAACTGCACTTGAAAGTGTTCTTGAGAAATGGTTTTCTACATAAAACTTCAATAAATTCCTACTAATACAAATTTAATGTGAAATATATCTTGTGTCCATAACCAAATTTCTAAATCTAAAAAGATACTCATACTCCGGTATATGCCATTTTTGTCTTTTGGAAGAGGAGTGCCGTTCTCACAAGATGTAGTCTGTGGCGGAGGAACGGGAGGAGTGCTGATAGAAGGAGGATGGTTTCTCCCCCTTCTCCTTGGCGATTGACCTTCCCAAGAAGAGGAAGATGTGGTTGCAACTTGTCTGAAATATTTCTGAGAGGTGTTTCTTGAACTTCTCACCCACGAAAGCATAAATAATAGGGTTCACACAGCAGTGAGTGAAGGAAATGATTTCTGTGACATGGGTGGCATAAATCAGCTGCTGGCTCGTGGCACATCCGTCCAAGATGTGCAGGTCGTGCAGGGAAGTGAGGAAGAGGACCACATTGAATGGGACCCAGAAGACTAAAGATGCAATCACCACGATGAGTACCAACTGGATGGCCTTGGTCTTGTTCTGGTTCTGGCAACCCTTCAGCTGGAGCAGGATGCTCGTGTAGCAAAATATCAGGATGGTGAATGGGATCAGCAGGCCTAAGATGTTTATTTCGAAGTGGGTGAAGAGCTTCCACTTTAAAGTCTGGTGATTGTAAGACAAATAACACTGGAGGATGCCATCGTCAGAGGTCACTTGGTAAAATACCAGCAATGGGCTGGTGGCCATGACGGCGATCAGCCATACTGCCAGGCTCAGGGCTGCCCCCATTCTGGCTGTCCTCACGTGCATGGTGTACACAGCATGGACAATTGCCAGGTACCTGTCCACGCTCATGAGGGTGATAAAGAACATGCTGCTGAAGAAGCCAACGTAATAAAAGCCAGAGACTACCTTGCACATGACCGTCCCAAACGCCCACTGGGAGAGCTGATAGTGAGTCTGAAAGGGGAAGGAGAAGACGAAAAGCAGGTCAGACAGGGCCAGGTTCAGGAGGTATATGTCTGTGATGCTCTTCAGCTTCTTGCAGAGGACAAGGACCAGGATGACCACGCTGTTTCCCAGGAGACCGAATACAAACAGGAGGCAGTAAAAGATGGCAAGAAGCCACTTGCTTTCTCTCTGGATAACTTCCCCATCACACGGGCTCGAGAGGATATCAGGGTAGTAGTAGTCACTTGTTGTCAGGTTGGGCTCGTGTGTATAATCCATCAAGGCAGGAGGGCCTGGTCACGGAGGTTCCTAAGAGATAGTCAACTTTAAAAATATTTTCATTCGAAAGTACAGACTGAATGCGCCCCCCAACTCCCAACTCGTATATTGAAGTCTTAAAGCCCTGTTTCAGACTAAATGTTCTCCCTCCTCTCCCAAGATTTCAAAATGAATCATAGCTCAGTTTCACACATACCTGATTTAGATGATATCTAGATGAAGCTTTTTTTTTTTTTAAAGAAAATGTATTTTTTTAATTAATTTTTTTACAGAGAGAGGAAGGGAGAGGTTATAGAGAGTTGGAAACATCGATCAGCTGCCTCTTGCATAACCTCAACTGGGGATGTGCCTGCAACCAAGGTACATGCCCTTGACTGCAATCAAACCTGGGACCCTTCAGTCCGCAAGCCAACGCTCTATCCACTGTGCAGAACCAGTTAGCGCTGTTGTTTTGTGTGTTTTTTTTAATTTAAAATTTTTGTGCAGTCGATGTATTATAGATAGAACACTTGATACCTATACAGTGGAACATCAGTTCTCAAACTTAATTTGTTCCAAAAGGCTGTTGGAGAAGCAGTGTGTTCAAAAACGAAATCATTTTTTCCTCATTAGAAAGAATGAAAATTGAATGAACTTGTTCCAGAACTCCAAGTCATTCTGTGTTCACCTTTCTTATGTAAAGTACATGTTTACTGTACAGTTTAATCTATGAGCAAACACCTCTTTTCCTAATTTATCAAAGCATCCCCTACTAGCCTTAAACAAATCACGTCAGCACTCAAATCTTCACCTTTTCACACACCATTGCCTCTGAAATGCTGTCACTGGCTAACTTCTTTTCATTTATCCAAATCAACAACTTTCCTTCATTTGCCTGTGATCATTGTTTCATGAACACTTTCACACGGTTAGCAAAATCAGCACTCTTGATGGCCTCCTTAGGTTTTAAAATTGTGCTAATCGTCTATTCAGTGTTTATCAAACTTCTCTCATGCTGAGAATCACCTGGTGGAGTTGTTAAAATACAGATTCCTGAAACCCAACTAAGAAGTGCTAAACTAGAATTTTTGGGAACATATAGGTAAAATTCCCCAAAATTCTAGTTTAGCACTTCTTAGTTGGGATTCAGGAATCTGTATTTTAACAACTCCACTAGGTGATTCTCAGCATGAGAGAAGTTTGGGAAACACTGGTCTATTTCAACAGCAACCAAAGCAAATATATATTTAACAGCACAATTTTCTGGGATGTTAACAAGGTGAGATTTAACGGTAACCTGACTCACATTATATTCTTCATGGCCTGAGAGAGGTTTTTTGTTTATTTGTTTGTTTGTTTGTTTTTTGTTTTTTGTTTTTTTGTCATGCTGATGTATCAGCATGAAAGGGTTGTCAGGTTGAGAACTGAAATTTATTCCAATAACCAAGACATTTTCTCCATGAATAACTTGGTCAAAGTCCCAATTGTTCAAGATGGAAGATGTTCAAGAACTGTATTGATTGTATAATTTTATTGAACAATGCAGCTCCAATAAATTCATTAGAAAAAAATGATAATTTTTCTCAAATTGATATATTCATTCGAGGTAATTTCAATACTATTTTTCAAGTCATTTGATTGCTGAGCACTCAGAAATCCCTTTTCACTATGCCACCTTTCTCTAATTTGAAATTCCAAGCAAGATAGCCATTTTTAAAGATATTGATTTTACTTAAGTATTTACCCCAAATGTATTTTACAAATGCAGTTCCCTCAACCAGAGCCATAGGCAGCCACTAAGACATGCAGGGTTTAAATTAAAAATAATAATAATAATAATAATTAAAAAAAAAAAAGACATGCAGGGTTTGTGTAAGCTGGGACATTCAAAGATTTTTTAAAAATTTACTTCTTGTGGCAAACCTTTGGAATATCAGCCTTCCCTTGACCTCCTTCCCAAGAACATAAACATGTCCCTACCTGTTTATATCCTTGTTCTCCAAGGACGATTAACACATACCTTAATTCCAGCCTTTGTTTCAGTTGCTAATTACTTCTTTTCAGAGTCTGCGTGTGTGGTAATACCTGTGTGGTAGTGGTAAGAGGCTGAACTGGGCTGAGCATCGAGCATCCTGTGTTACTTTATTGAGAGGAAGAGAGAGGGACAGAGAGTTAGAAACATTGATGAAAGAGAAACATCAGCTGCTTCCTGCACACCTCCTACTGGGGATGAGCCCACAACCAAGGTACATGCCCATGACTGGAATTGAACCTGGTACTTTTCAATCCGCAGGCCGATGCTCTACCCACTGAGCCAAACCAGTTAGTGCTGTGTGTTTTTTAATTTAAATTATTATTTTTTATTTTTAAAAATAATTCTTTATTGTTGAAAGTATTACAGATGCCCCCCTTT